TGTACAGGTGTAAGACGGCGATTTTTGGAGATAGCACCGCGTTGTGGAGGAATACCACGGGCGCGACGCGTAACCGTCTTTCTGGGCACATCGTATAGTTTCTCAACGCCTCGGAAGGATGTAATTTGGCCGGTCTTGTAGGCTTGAACGCCTAGAATAACTCTGCCTTCTTGAAAGATGGCTTCTTGTTGTTGTGGTGCTGCCATTGGGGTGGTTGTTGGACGACGCGTCGCGTGTTGAGTTGGGTGGGCCACTAGCTTGTGCGGGCCACTAACTTGTGGATTACGTTAACGTAGTTCACAAGCGAGTGGGCCACCCAAGCGAGTGGGCCACCCGCCCCGCATTGAGGCTACAAAAACGCAATTTCTACAGCCACGAGCAATTATCTTTGGTGTTTCTATCTGCTAGCTAGTTGCCTGCCGTCTAGGGCACGTACGAGCGCTGTGATCTAGTGATTCGCACAAGCTACACCTAGGTGGTGCACGCTGCCGTCGCTCTGCTAGCCCCTCTGCTGCCCCCTCTGCCGGCCCCTCCTGGGCAGCAGATGCACGAGAGGCCCCTTCAGCGCCTGATAGCACCCCTCCCCTAGCTATATAGGTGCGCTTCTGTGCCTTCTTCCTTTTCTGGCGCTGGTTTTCCATCCGTAGCTTCTCATTTTCGCTTGCAAGCAGCACAGCGCTTGACATCGCCATTTCGCACCCCTTTACAGGCTGGCCAAGGGCTTGTTCTGTTGGACTTGGTGGGCTATACGTACGGCGCTTAAGATAGCGCTTTAGCAAGGCTGTCTGCTGCTGTAATTTACTGATATTATGTGGCGTTTCGGCTGCCCAGGATGCATTTAATGGCGGGCGTTGCATCTTATAAGGAGTAGCTCTACCACGTCCTTATGCCGATTTACTGCAGCTAAAAAACAGCGGGGCTTAATCAGACATATCTATAAGCCTAGGCCACCTTGCGCAGTCTTATAGATTAGTATACTAACTAATTAGCCCACCTCTACATGTATATTCATAGACACATAAATATAAGAGGATATTAAAAATAATATTGCTTATAATATCCTTAGAGTCTGAGTTAAATGTCGGCGTTTGAAACTAGTAGCTTTGCAAATGGCTGGTGCCCCTTTTCATAGCCTAAGAGGGTTGACTGCCTAAATAGAAGATTCGGCAGGTCTAGCCGAATATCTCCGTTCGCAAATAGAAATTGAGCTGAAGCTAGATGGCTGTTTGCTGATGCTTAAAGCGTTGTTGTGTGGCTGAGAAATGTTAGGAGTTGATATCGATACCCGTAAATGTTAAGTAGAACCTTTAACTTATAACGTAATCGGGGCCTCTATTAACAGCACGGTGCGGGAATTATTATTTTATACATTAAGCTTAGCGCCTTTGTTAAGTAGCAGCCTTACAATCGCTTCATTGCCTTCAGATGAAGCCGCCTGGAGCGCGTTGCCGTACTCTCCACCCTTGGCGTTGACGTTGGCGTGGTTGTTAAGCAGCAGCTGGACTATCGCTTCATTGC